TCCCCCTAAAACCAGTTCGCGTCACTGTTAACTGCACCATTCTCCATGGCGATGGTCTGTCCCTCGATCGAGCGTCGTTGATCAGTCTGTTGTATCCCCTATCGCGATCATCACGACCCTGTCGGCTTCGTACTGCGTCAATGCATTCTGCTGCTGTGACAACTGACTCGAAGGTGGACAACCCGTGAATAGCTATTGTCTCCGCTATGCCCGGCTTCAACCCTTTGAGGTAGCGATCGTGCATCTCTGCGTCCGTGATGTCATCTATTTCGTTGCAGATGCTCAAGAACCGTCGTGTGTACTCCTGGACGTTTCCTATCTGTCAAAAATGACGCAGACGCTTCCTAGCAGCTTCGGAGGCATTCACCAAGTCAAACCTACTTTTCAGCGCCGCTTCAAATCTTTCCCATATGGTCGGAACCATGGTAACACCCAAAGCTAAACTCCCTAAGCTCGAAGTTGCAGTTGCATGCCCCTCGCCCTGTTGATGCCCGTCTAACTGAGCCCTCCATGAGTTGGGGCATGAGTCGGCGCCACCACTCCAAGGCCGGGCCCCTCAGCAGCGTAACGGAGTACTCGATCCGCTGCTGCGCGTCCGCCTCTTGCACCCCGCTCGCGGCGAAGTAGTTGTTCAGCATGAAGATCCACGTCCGCACGTTCGCGTCGTGTCGATTTGGGTCGAACGGCTCGGGCTTCTGTGTCTTGAGCGCGCTTCGATGTTCCGGCAGCGCTTCCGCGCCAGTCAACGTGTTGGGTGCAGGAGATGGTGCGGCATGATTATGAGAAATTGACGCGAATTCACGAAGCTGTTGCATTTCAGCAAGCACCTGACGATTTTCCAGCGTCAACGTTTCGAGTTGGCGCATGAGTTGAGCAAGCGTGTTGCCCATGTCGTTGGGGACAGCGTTCATGGTTTCATCCATGTCTGCTCGACGACCCCAAGTCTGCAAGTCGGCACCGCGGGACGATGGCATCGTAGTCTTGTCGTCGACGGCTGCTCATTGGAAGTCGCTCCCCTCGAAGGCTCCTGATACGAAGTGTTAGGCCCCTTGGCCTTAGTCCGCTAAAGATTAGCTGTGTCGACTACGTCGAGGATAAAATACGGCGGAAGACTTTGGCGAAAAAAATATTGGCGAAATATGCGAAGAAGTTACTGAGTATTTGAAGAGTTGAATGAGAATTGGTTATGGCAAGTACAAGTAAGATTGATATAGCATGCAAGTGCGAATGTCGGAAAGTAGTTCGTGGGACTATGAAGTAGAATGCAAGAAAGCTAGAGTGCCACGTGGCACAAGGAAATCAGGGAAATCCCTAAGGGATTGGATGGAGATAAAGTTGGGATTGGGTTGGGGGATTGTTTAGGGTAAAATACTCTTGAACAATAACATATCCCGTAACAATGATATCATGATTATGAGGGGATGCGCTCAGGAATCTATATTACTATAACTTCATGTAGTTATAGTTTTTGGGTAATTACTAATATGTTTGGTTGTGCACTTGTATTTGTATTGCTCCTTTATGTGTATCCCCCCCTTTTCTCCAGACATTCTCGTAACTCATTCCATACTCTATCGATCTTCCTAGTCTAATCTCCTATGTCTATCATGATATCAGAGCAAGGCCCAATGGGCGCACCGACTTTTGTTTCTCTCTTGGCGCTCGTGACGCCCTCTGAAACGCGTTCGGATACGATGGTCGCGCCCCGCCGTTTCTGATGCAGCTCCCTATGTGGCGTTTGTCATAGATAGTTGAATATCCTCGATGAGGTAAGGTAACCTCGAAGATTGGATGAGGGTAGGTACCTGTTACGAGTGCAATTGAGTGAGCGAGCGAGAATTGCACTATTGAAGCAAGAGTACAATGAGCGAAGGCATGAGCGAAGAATATATAGTGAAACTACAGTGGTAACGGTAATGGACTGTGGTTGTCGCGCGACGGGCCTGGGACTGAGGTTTGGGGAAAATGTCGAAGCGGAGGCCCGGAGCGCGGGTTACCCGCCGAGCCGTGAGGTCGGGGTGCGACGTGCGAAGGTGGCGGGAGGATTGTCGATGCGAGGGTTGCGAGTGGTAACGGTGCTGAGTGTGGTGCTACAGTGGTGTACGCGCTGAGCGGGGACGCGAAGTAAGGAAAAGGATTTTTCCTTACAGTACCCAAGAACGTAAAGTAAAGACAATTTGGTAGCGGAAATATTATTTGAAGATAATTTGAGTTTCTGTTTTTGATACTAGCTGTTCTAGAACCTAATCACATTAGCGCGGTTGCTCTAGACCAGTTGACCATCGAATGTTTGGATGGATCTGCCACTGAGGAAGGTAATGTTCCAAACATACTGAATTTTCAGCACTACATCATTTATATGTTTTGCCAGCTTTCGTTGATTGTATTGGGGAGAACTTCTGGTTGCTGTGTCCCTTCGGCAATATGTTCGCTTCTTGAGATCGCTGAGTGGCGCAATTGACCCGAGACGGTCTGGCAGAATGCTGTCAACGCCGTTGCCCTGCCCGCTTGCAATCAAACCATTGACGGGCAAGCCGACTGTGTGGCATGAAAGTGAGTGCTAGTGGGATGATTTTTGAAACCAGCTGATTCTGGCCTCACCCCGCCTCACGCCACTTTCTCCCACTTGCAGAAAAATATTGCCCTGAGCGGGGTTGTAATAACAGTGGCGGCGAGCAGAACTGAGACAGAAAGATACAGTGTTTGCAACAGCGGCGGCGAGCAGAACTGAGGCTTGCTTGTCCTTCATTTTGCCGGCGCGGACGCAACAAGGTCATAACCCCAAGTTCAAACAGCTTCTGCGAAAACATTTAGGAAAACTAAGGGTTAGACACGAGATTTCCTGTTTCACGAGTTCTCATCACGCTCCCTGGTTCAGTAGTCTGAAGCTTCATGCCAGAAGCAAATCCATCGCAAACCCCGCAACCCATCCCGCACTCCTCCCCACCCCACCGTCCCTCCCCCCACCACACACAACAGTGAAGGAAAATGGGGAGGAATTGGTAGATTTGGCGTGGAGTCTGGGAAGCCAAAGGGTACTTAAAGCCAGGATCTCAAGTAAGAGAAATTGGCTTCAATTGCAAAACACTTGCAGCTCGAGTCACCCTGTTTGTTTAGGCGAAATCGAGTGGTTGGGTTGGAGGTTCAGTGTGCGACTGATCCCCGATTTGCCCGTGAATCTCAATTGCAAAACAAATTGCTGTGCATGAGATTTTTCGGCAAGTGAGACACATTGCTGGGAAATGAGCTTCGGAACCCAACCAGATTTCCGTGCCTAGTTGGTTCGGAAGTTCACTGCGATTTTTGTTTGCTTCGCATCCCTCGTTTCAGCTCTCGTCAACTACTCTACCTCGTCAACCAATCACAGCCTAACACAATTCACTAACTGCAAAACAGCCAAACTACTTGAGATCCTGGCTTTAAGCCAGATCAGCTCTACTATGGAATGCTCTCAGTGTTTGTTATATATTTCATCATCCTCATATATAGAAAAAAACTCAAAGACGCTTTTGGAAACGCTGAATGTGCTCGGAGAGATGCTCGAATTTGACGAGACAGCTCTGAAATTGCTGGATTTTCGTCACAATCTACTCGGGGAACCCACCTGTGGGCACCTCAAATCCCTTCATTCCAGCTGGAAAATGAATGTGTACAATCCCAGAATCATCTGAGCAATTGGCCTGGCACTCCTTCTCTCAGAGAAAAGGAGTTGGTTCACTAGTTTGTGAAATTGTGATTGTTGTGTGCAAGAACTGGTTTTCTCGTCCAGATTTGGCTGGTTGGCTGAGGCCCTCGTCTTTAGAATGCAGATAATCAAGTCTAACCAGGCGACGTTGAACCTTGATGGCTGACACAATGACCTAATAGCAACCACTCCATACCTACGTGACGCTGAATCATGAACTGATCTGCTGCTATTGATTTTTGCGTCGGAAAACGCGGCCGCTGGCGATCCCACAGGGAAAATCGTGGCGACTCGGGTAGTATAGCTGTCACGGTACAAGCAGCTTTGAATGACGCCGAAAGCGCAAAGCGGCGGTTGGAGCAGGCATGTTCCGAGTTGTTTGAAGCAGAAACAGGCGGAGGAAGCTAAGGATCAAGACACAGCGGCGGGAGATCCCGTCGGTTGCTCCTCGGTGCTATTCCAGGGTAACGATGAGAGGAAAGAGAGCCTTTATGCCCTATACCAGGAATCCGAGGATAAAAAACCTCGTCGACCAATCTTCCGTAAAAATCTGTAGGACGAATGACATAAAAAATCGGATCTTCAACGTCCTAAGATCTAAAAAGTGACAATGTCCGAGGATTGAATCCTCCCTCTTCGAGAGAGAGATGTGGGAGAGTCCTCCAAATCTCCTCCGGAAGTCGCCGTCCCCTCTCTCACATTTGAGGCGCCTTTTGAGGCGCCTCAGAAGTCGTTTCCCTCTCTTCCACGTCTCCTCTGGGCCGTCGTCCCCTCTCAGACCCTCTTTTTCTGCCTCTTCCATCCTTCTCAGACCCTGGTACGAGTAATAAACGCATCGCATGCCTGGATTGCATGGCTATGACTAGGAATCCCAGGCATGAGATGACTATGCCTGGTACTAGGATCTCATCTCATGCCTGGGAATCTCATGCCTAGGAACCTCATGCCGATCCCATGAATCTCGTACCTGCATGCCCATCTCATGCCTATGCCTATCAGATGCCTATTACGTGCCCATCTCATGCCCATCTCATGCCCATCTCATGCCCATCTCACGCCCATCTCATGCCCATCTCGTGCCCATCTCATGCCTATGCCTATCAGATGCCTATTACATGCCCATCTCACGCCCATCTCATGCCCATCTCATGCCCATCTCATGCCTATCACATGCCTATCACATGCCTATCACATGCGCCTATCACATGCCTATCACATGCCTATGACATGGCTATCATGCCCTTTTCATGTCTAACATGCCTATCACATGCCTATCTCATGCCGAGGGATCTCATGTTCTGGTCAAATTGCGGTCATGTGCTCTGGTTGCGGGCCGGCCCTGAATTATCACATCTTCCTCCTTCTCCAAACGGCCCTTCTCCCCTCCCCCTCCCCTCTCCCCTCCCCCTCCCCCTCCCCTCTCCCCTCCCCTCCCCCTCCCCTCTCCCCTCCCCTCCCCCTCCCCCTCCCCTCTCCCCTCCCCTCCCCCTCCCCTCTCCCCTCCCCTCCCCCTCCCCTCTCCCCTCCCCTCCCCCTCCCCTCCCCCTCCCCTCCCCCTCCCCTCTCCGCTCCCCTCCCCCTCCCCTCTCTCTCCCAGCTTCCTTCGTCAAGGTGCTGTTGCAGCCGGCCCCATGCTTATCAGATCTCCCTTCTTCCCCAAACGGCCCTTGTGGGTGGTCGTGTGGGTGCCATGCGGCGCTCTCATAGCAGCATGGCTGCGGTGGTGTGGGACTGGCACAAGCAGCACGAGAGCTCTTTTTTCCTTCTTCGCCCCCCATCCATCCCCTTCTCTCCTCCCAGCGTCCCTGTTCACGCTGCTGGTGGTCGTGTGGGTGGCATGCCGCGTATGGTCTGGTTGCGGCCGGCGCCACACTTATCAGATCTCCCTTCTTCCCCAAACGGCCCTCCTCTCTCTCTCTCTCCCAGCGTCCCTGTTCACGCTGCTGGTGGTCGTGTGGGTGGCATGCGGCGCAGTGATAGCAGCATGGCTGCTCTACTGGAGGCACTCGCAGTACGTGGATCAAAGGGAGGAGGCGCTGGGAGTGTGGTGCAAGGAGCGCGCCCTCACGTTGCAGCAGCTCGTGCTGGCCCATGCTGGGCAGATGCAGGTGAGGTTGGAGTGGGTTGATGCCGAACCTAGGTAAGGCTGGGTGGTTTTTTGTCAGCATTCTTACCTGGTGTATGGGTGCTGCCCGCATGCTCTCATACCCTCTTGCAAGTGAGGTTGGAGTGGCCCTGCTCATGTAGAGTATTTTTCATCGCCAGAGAGTGGCAGCGGCGGTTGGCAGGGGAAGCAGCAGCAGTGGGGAACCGCGATATAGAGTATTCTACATCGCCTCATGCAAGTGAGGTTGGAGCGGTCCTGCTCACCCATGCTGGTCAGATGCAGGTGAGCTGTGTTGGTGTGCTGCTCTCATGCCCTCATGCGCTCATGCACTCATGCTCTCATGCCCTCATGCCCTCATGCGTTCATGCGCTCATGCGCTCATGCCCTCATGCTCTCATGCCCTCATGCTCTCATGCCCTCATGCCCTCATGCTCTCATGCCCTGATGCTCTCTTGCCCTCATGCGCTCATGCCCTCATGCCCTCATGCGCTCATGCCCTCATGCGCTCATGCCCTCATGCGCTCATGCCCTCATGCCCTCATGCCCTCATGCCCATGTTCTCATGCTCGCTTGTCCGCATGCCCCATCTCATGCCCTCATCATCTCATGCCTGTTCGTGCTGGCCCATGCTGGTTCGTGCTGGCCCATGCTGGTTCGTGCTGGGCCATGCTGGTTCGTGCTGGCCCATGCTGGTTCGTGCTGGCCCATGCTGGTTCGTGCTGGGCCATGCTGGCCAGATGCGTGTGGGCCGGGCAAGTGGGACATGGGCAGGTGTTTGAACGATAGAAGGAGTTTCCGCTGTTTCCGACATTTGGTCCCACTTCCCTCCCATTCCGCAGTCTCAGGGCTGATTCCTGTGGTGGGCAAGCCAGGGCGGGTGGGCAAGTGGGACATGGGCGGGTGGGCAAGTGGGACATGGGCGGGTGGGCAAGTGGGACATGGGCGGGTGGGCAAGTGGGACATGGGTGGGTGGGCAAGTGGGACATGGGTGGGTAATTAAATATCAGTCTCCGCTCTTCATTCTTCACTGAATCTAGTGAATTGAACCCGTTCCCTCCCATTCGTCAGACTCTTTCAGGTGTGATTTCTGTGATGGGCAAACCGGGGCAAGGGAGCAAGTGGGGCATGGGCAGGTGTTTGAACGGCAGCATGTGGGTGTCTTATCTCACTCGCACCGCACCAACTCGCCCGGGGAACACTGGTGCGGTCGCGTGTGCGCTGGTGCGCGATGCAGAGAGGTGAGCGAGATGGGAGTGGAAGTGTGGAGAGAGGTGAAGGCGGAGGGAGTTAAGTGTGGTTGAGTGGCCGTGGCCTCATGCCATTGTGCTTTCGGTTTTGTTTGTTTGTTTTTTGCTCTTCATATATATATACGTATATACATATATACATATATACATATATACATATATACATATATACATATATACATATATTTATATAAATATATATAAAAATATATATATACCGCACACACATTATATGCAGGGACTCGTTTGAGCAGCAGTACGGCAGCATCAGAGACAACACTTTGATCGTCAGCGCCCGCCGCCCCATCTACTGCCCCGAGGTCCTCGAGCTCACAACGCTCTACGCCTTTCCCTTCTCACCTGACCCCTCCCACTCACGCATGTCGCTGCAGGCCGGCCTTTGAAAAGCAGTACGGCAGCATCAGAGACAACACGCTGATCGTCAGCGCACGCCGCCCCATCTACTGCCCGAAGATTCTAGAGCTCACAACGCTCTATGCCACCAACGGCCCCAGCAACATCGACATGTTCCAAAGATACTACTCTCTGATCCCGCTCGTGCTAGAAGGCCGGCACTTCTACTCCTGGCCCTACGCCCTCGCCAATCCACTCACTCATGCCGGATTCGGTGAGTGAGTGATTGAGTGAGTGAGTGAGTGAGTGAGGGAGCGAAGGAGTGAGGGAGTGGTTGAGTGAGTGAGGGATTGAGTGAGGGAGTGAGTGAGGGAGTGAGTGAGAAAGGCCATGGTAGCATAGCCTTGGCAGTGGTGTGACCTGCTGCTCTCTCAAACGCACCGAACTCACAACGGCCCAAGCAGCGTCTACCTCTTCCAGTGGCTACCTCTTCCAGTGGCTACCTCTCCCAGTGGCTACCTCTCCCAGTGGCTACCTCTCCCAGTGGCTACCTCTCCCAGTGGCTACCTCTCCCAGTGGCTACCTCTCCCAGTGGCTACCTCTCCCAGTGGCTACCTCTCCCAGTGTCTACCTCTCCCAGTGGCTACCTCTCCCAGTGGCTACCTCTCCCAGTGGCTACCTCTCCCAGTGGCTACCTCTCCCAGTGTCTACCTCTCCCAGTGGCTACCTCTCCCAGTGTCTACCTCTCCCAGTGTCTACCTCTCCCAGTGTCTACCTCTCCCAGTGGCTACCTCTTCCAACGTGTACCTCTTCCAGCAATTTTACTTTTATCAATAGTGGCAATTCGTGATAAGAAATCTTCATCCAATCTCTCTCGTTTCTCCCGACCCCACCACAGGTGTCGCCTTTCCTCTCTGCCGCAGCCTTCCCACTAACCACTCAAGCCAATCAGCAAAGGGACCAGTGTACGGGTCACTGGCTGCATCTTTTGATGTGACTTACATCGCACAGAAGGTCCTAGAGGAGCTATATGAAGCTGGTGAGTGCAGAGCTGTATAACCTATTGATGCCCGTTGTTGTCATAATTACTTGACATCTTGAAGACATCTTGATGTTTGCATTGTGCTCTTCTTAATCTCTCCCCTCCTCTTTCCCTTTTCTTCCTCCCCCTCTCCTCTTTTCCCCCCATCCCCCCCTCCCCTCTTCTCTTCCTCCCATCCAGACCCATCCAAGTCCTTTGAGCTATACGACATCACCGACCCAGCCTCGCTCTTCGCCATCGTCTCACCAGTCCCCCCACACGCCTACTTCCGCCCCGACGACAAGCTCCCCTACATGCACCCCTCTCCCAACTCTGAAACCCGCCCCTGGGAGCATCGAGCCGTGGTGCCTCTAATTGAGATGGGAGCGGGCGTGCGCAGATATGAGGTCTGGTGCAGGTGAGTAAGCCTTCTAGAACCTTTTTTGAGGCGCCTCAAAAATCGCAGGTGAGTAAGCCTTCTAGAACCTTTTTTGAGGCGCCTCAAAAATCGCAGGTGAGTAAGCCTTCTAGAACCTTTTTTGAGGCGCCTCAAAAATCGCAGGTGAGTAAGCCTTCTAGAACCTTTTTTGAGGCGCCTCAAAAATCGCAGGTGAGTAAGCCTTCTAGAACCTTTTTTGAGGCGCCTCAAAAATCGCAGGTGAGTAAGCCTTCTAGAACCTTTTTTGAGGCGCCTCAAAAATCGCAGGTGAGTAAGCCTTCTAGAACCTTTCTCTAGGGCTCTCTCGCTCGCGCTCTCGCTCCACCCCATGCACCCCTGTCCGGACTCTGAAACCCGCCCCTGGGAGCATCGAGCCGTGGTGGTGCCTCTAGAGATGGGAGCAGGTGTGAGAAAGTACGAGGTCTGGTGCAGGTGAGACTGGGGATATTTATGGTACGCCATACGACAGCAGGTGAGCTTTCTAGTGATCATGTGATTGGTCCAGAGAGTGTGAAGTGTTTGGCTGTCGAAAGTCACCTCTTGAGCTTAGAGCTGGTAATCATTATGTAACTTGACATCTTCAAGAGTCTCCCCATTGCCCCCCTTACACTCATCCTACGCCCCTGCATGGCATGCATGCGAAGAGTTGACCAACAACGGGAGTAGACTACGTGAGAGGCGTACGGGTATCTTAGCGTTTGTGTAGGTTCGCGCGTGCTCGCTGTGCCCGTTTGAAAAGTCAACCATAGTTTAACACTAGAACAGGAAAGTAATATATGATGCTATGGAAGGCATGGACCAATATACCAAGTAACACGGCCACCTTGCACAATGTTGGCGTCGCACCCACCGAGGGTGGCTTGCCAACACAGCAATGGCAGGTGAACCATGCACATGCAAGTCACATGTCAAGTAGGTGCAGGCTTGCTCAACAAACAGTTATGTGCACGCTGTGCACAGCACATGATGCACATTGCGGAGGTGCAAGGTTTCCACAAGAAGACATTTGCCAAAACCTCCTGGGGCGAAATTTGCACACAAGCAGAATACTGACAACCAGTAATTTGGTCGACCAGAAAGACGCCACTCGGTCATCGCCGCCGAAGTCGTTCATCTCGTTGGTTGGCTTTCTGCGGATGATTACTTTTGTCGACTGGGATCGTCGATCAAGGCACTCGCTGCTCGCTGACTGGGAGATTCACTGCCGCCCACGTCACAATTCTCGTTGATTCACTGCACACTCAGCTTCCACACGTGCTTCTATCCTCCCATGCGACTGTTACCCCATCCAGGCACACACAGCCCCCCAGCACGTGGCAATCGTGGGGCATCCCCATCCTCATCGCCCTCTTCGCCCTCCTCCTCGTGTTGCTCGTGCTGCTGGCGGCATGTCTGCAGCGTGCTAAGTTCCTGCAGACCCAGCAGCAGATGGCGGAAGCTGATAGGCTGAGACGGGAGGCAGATGAAGCAGAGGCATCGAAGAGCATGTTTGTAGCGTGCATGTCTCATGAGCTGCGGGCGCCCATGGTTGGAATCATAGGTAGGTATTGCATTCCTGTTATCCCCTCTGCACCCTACCTGCTCCCTCTCTCCCACCCACATCCCTTTTCAAACGCTCTAACAGGCACGGGCTTCCTCCTGCTGGCAGACTTGCTAATGGCCCCCCCTCCCTCCTCCCCTCCTTCCCTCCCTCCCTCCCTCCCTCCCTCCCTCCCTCCCTCCCTCCCTCCCTCCCTCCCTCCCTCTCGCTCTAGCACATATGGATAGTACCCCCCTCATTGCAACAGAATGGGGTCGCTGAGTGCCGCATTGGCTTGGTCGCAGAGATTGCTCCTACATTCATGTGTCATGCCAGCGGCCCCCATTATCTATGACATTTTTCATTCCGCTATGCCAAGCACCAGCTTAACCTGTGGTCTCGTGTTTCACACCCCCAAGTTACGCAGTCCCTTCTTTGGACTGAGTTTCCTGGTGTTGAGGCTGCGTTTCGTGTCTGAGGCTGCACTTGCTTACGTCCGCGCCTCTGGCGTGGACAAGCTCTCAGCCCACACTCTCTCCTGTGTCTCTCTCGGTTTCCTCCATTGGACCGCTCCAACTGCCGGACCTGCTAATGGTCGGACTGTCATCCAAGGATGCACTGCATCCGCTCAACTTGGTGTTTCATATGACTTCATGGCCCCATGCACTCACGCTTCTGCTGCCCACATCGCTCTTCCCTCCCATCAGGCATGCTCGATGCTCTAGCAGACATGGGCCTGGACTCCTCCCAGCTAGAAGACCTGCTATTGGCCACAGCGTCAGCAAAGAAAACACTGCATCTGGTCAACCGCGTGTTGGACCTGGCGAAGCTGGAGGCAGGCAAGGCGGTGGCGGATGAGACGGTGATTGACGTGCGGGAGTGGCTTGATGCTGCGTTGCACTGGCACGTGGAGGCAGCACGCTCCAAAGGCATTGAATGTGAGTGCACCAGAGGGTCGGCCTCACCTCATGCCAGCATCAGAGGGTCGGCCTCACCTCATGCCAGCATCAGAGGGTCGGCCTCACCTCATGCCAGCATCAGAGGGTCGTCCTCACCTCACGCCAGCATCAGAGGGTCGGCCTCACCTCATGCCAGCATCAGAGGGTCGGCCTCACCTCATGCCAGCATCAGAGGGTCGGCCTCACCTCATGCCAGCATCAGAGGGTCGTCCTCACCTCATGCCAGCATCAGAGGGTCGTCCTCACCTCATGCCAGCATCAGAGGGTCGTCCTCACCTCATGCCAGCATCAGAGGGTCGTCCTCACCTCATGCCAGCATCAGAGGGTCGTCCTCACCTCATGCCAGCATCAGAGGGTCGTCCTCACCTCATGCCAGCATCAGAGGGTCGTCCTCACCTCATGCCAGCATCAGAGGGTCGGCCTCACCTCATGCCAGCATCAGAGGGTCGTCCTCACCTCATGCCAGCATCAGAGGGTCGTCCTCACCTCATGCCAGCATCAGAGGGTCGTCCTCACCTCATGCCAGCATCAGAGGGTCGTCCTCACCTCATGCCAGCATCAGAGGGTCGTCCTCACCTCATGCCAGCATCAGAGGGTCGTCCTCACCTCATGCCAGCATCAGAGGGTCGTCCTCACCTCATGCCAGCATCAGAGGGTCGTCCTCACCTCATGCCAGCATCAGAGGGTCGTCCTCACCTCATGCCAGCATCAGAGGGTCGTCCTCACCTCATGCCAGCATCAGAGGGTCGTCCTCACCTCATGCCAGTATGCACGCGGAATGAGACGATGATTGATGTGCGCAAGTGGCCTCATGCCGCCTTTGACTGGCAAGCGTGTGTCTCATTGTTTTTTATATTGTTGTGTGTCTCAATGTTTCTAATATTGTGTGAGTTCTTCATATAGTGTGTGTCTCAATGTGTCTCATTGTTCTTGATATAGTGTGTCTCATTGCTCTTAATATAGCGTGTCTCATTGTTTTTTATGTTGTGTGTCTCAATGTTTCTAATACTGTGTGTGTTCTTCATATGTTGTGTGTCTCAATTTGTCTCATTGCTCTTGATATAGCATGTCTCATTGTTCTAAATATAGTGTGTCTCATTGCTCTTAATATAGTATGTCCCATTGCTTTTTGTATTGTGTGTTCCCAACCCCGGAGTTAGGGTTAACCTTAGTTGTGCACCCAAACTTAGTTTGGGTGCCTATCTCTACCCAAGTTTATAGGGTGAATGTAGGATACAAGGAGAAGTATTAACTAATCGTGTGATGGTGATGTGTGTGATGGTGTGTGGGGTTGGGATGGTGATGTGTGTGATGGTGTGTGGGGTTGGGATGGTGATGTGTGTGATGGTGATGTGTGTGATGGTGGTAACGACCGTTTGCAACTTCTGGTTACTTTCCTTGGTTTCGTTTCAGAAAACGCTGTGAAGTTCACGACACAAGGCCACGTGACAGTGCAGGTGTCTGTGGTGCCACAAGGAACAAGCTTGCAAGACACCCTTTGTTGCCAGGGTAAGCTTGGCTGTCAGTGGCTGAATGTAGCTTTTGCGATTAATCCTGCTTGTTCATTGGTTGATACTGGTTCACACAAATTCAAGATGGTTTAGGGTAGAGCGCCTATTTACGGCACTCCTTGATTCTTCGCTCTAACACCCTCATTTCCTGCACACCGTCCCCCACCCCCTCTCCACCCCCTTTACCCCCCTCCGCTCTCCTTCCACACTTCTCACGACTCCCACGCCTTCTCTCAACCACACCACACGCTCCCAAAACTGCCCACTCCCATCCACCTTGACTCTTTTCACGAAGCACCTCAAAAGGATACTTCCTCTCGCCACGGTTTCCCCTTCCACCCCAGGCCTGACCAAAGCCATCCTAGAAGCACACATCCGTTCCACGTTTCTCACAACTCCCACGCCTTCTCTCAACCACACCACACGCTCCCAAAACTGCCCACTCCCGTCCACCTAGACTTTTCCGCAAAGCGCCTAAAACACATACGTCATCTCTCCACGTTTTCCCCATCCACCCCAGGCCTGTCCTCAGCCATCCCAGAAGCACACACCCCGTCAGCTCTCCACGGGGCGTGCAGGCGGCTCAGCCCTAGATGGCGCTGCCTGCTTGAGGGGGTTAAGGGAACGCTAGCAGTAGGAGCAGCAGGCTGTGAGGCAGTGAAGGGGGTTAAGGGAGCGCAAGCAGTAGGAGAAGCAGGCGGTGAGGCAGTGAAGGGGGCGGGTGGGACAGCAGTAGGAGAAACAGGCGGTGAGGCAGTGAAGGGGGCGGGGGCGACAGCAGTAGGAACAGCAGGTGGTGAGAAAGTGAATGGGGAAGGGGCGCCAGCAGCAGCAGCAACAGCACCACCACCGCCACAACCAGCACCAGCAGCAGCAGGAGCAGCAGGAGCAACAGCAGCAAGCGCAGCAGGCAGTAAAAAAAGGGAGGGGTGGCATGAGAGAAGGCATGGGAGTCAAGACAAGAGACACACTTGGAAACCAGACAGGGGGCGTGGGAGAGGGCATGGGAGAGAGCATAGTAGTGGGCAAGAGAGGGATGGAGAGCGGTGCATGCTGGTGGTGTCGTGCCAAGACTCGGGCTGCGGCCTTCCAGCGTCTCTCCACACAGCGAGTGGCAGTGAAGGGCCTTCATATTTCTCTCTGCTGGTGAGCTTTCTACTTCGCTCTCTGACTCACGCTGACCTCCCTGCCTCTCTCCACACAGCGAGTGGCACTAGGGCCTTCCTACTTCTCCCTCCTGGCGAGCCTCGTCTGCTTGTCTCCCTGCTGGTGAGGTTTTGACTTCTCCCTCCACTCAGCCCCACTCAGCTCACGGTGCCAAGACTCAGGCGCTGGCCTTCCAGCTCCTCTTTACGCTGCAAGTGGCAGTGAAAGGCCTTCTTACTTCTCGCTCCTGGTGAGCCTTGTTTGGTTTTCTCTCCTGATGCTGAGCTTTAGACTTTTCTTTCCGTCTCAAATCCCCGTGTTTAGACTCGGGCTGTGGCCTTCCAGCGTCTCTCCACACAGCGAGTGGCAGCTGCGGGCCTTCCTACTTCTCCCTGCTCGTGAGCCTCGTTCTTCTTCCAGCGTCCCTGCTGGCATTTGAGTCGACTCAAAAGGTGACTTTTGACTTTTGAGTCACAGCGAGTGGCAGCTGCGGGCCTTCCTGCTTCTCCCTGCTGGTGAGCCTTGTTCTTCTTCCAGCGTCCCTGCTGGCAGCTGCTGGGTCCGCTTGGCGTGGTGGGACTCTACAGTGCTGCCTTTCCGGGCTTCCAGTGTTGCTTTACAAGCCATCAGCCGGTGAAAGGCATCATCTCATTGGTTCTTCATCTCACGGGCAGCATCTCATGGAATTCTTCATCCTTTATTCTCTCTCGTGTTGTCACATTGCCTCCTCTGCGGGAACCCCACCTGCTGCTCCATCTCCTCCTCCCCCCCTTCTCCCCTTTGTCGTCTCCATCTCCCACCCTCCCTCCCTTCCTCCCTCCTTCCAGAAGCATCTTCCCACTCTTCCCCTTCCGTCCCCTCCCCTCCCCTCCCCTATCCTCCGCCTTTTTTCCCTTCCCTTCCCTCCGAATCTTCCCTTCCCTTCCCCCCGTCCAGCTCCCTCTCTTGTTCCTTGTCTCTCATGCTTTCCCTCACACATTCCCCCACACTCTCACACTCTTTTCTCACACGTTCCATCTCTTCCCACCCTGCTCGTCCATCTCACCCATCTCTCACAAGTGTAATGTTCAACAAGTGTCATTCTCACGCTCTTTCACACCTCCAATCCTATTTTGTTTTCTTGACTCTTCCAGGAATCGCGGGAGCAAAGGGAAGAGAGGAGTGGGTCAGGGGCAGCCCTTGGGCTCGTGTTGGTGCACCAAACGGTGAGTGCATCAGACATCCTTATTCGTTTCACTGTGTTGCCGTTTCCGAGTTTTGCGATGTCCCAAAACTAGAGGGGAGCAAGGAGTGGGTCAGGGGCAGGCCTCAGGCTCGTGTTGGTGCAGCAAACGGTGAGTCCCTCCAACACCTCTTCATTCCTCATTCTCAGTGTATTACCGACTCCGAGTTGCTGCTGCTGCCGCTGTCGCCGACGCTGCTGCTGCTGCTGCCACAGCGGCTGCTTCACAATCCGAGCTCTGGCTCCTATCTACATAAATTACAATAGCACGCTTTTTCATCTCCCTCCTCCTCCCCACTCACCCCCAGGTGACTCTATTGAAGGGAGAGCTCGCCTTTGACTCACAGCCCGGGTGTGGCAGCACAGTTGCTTTCTCTGTGCCTGTAGCCGTGCCCTCGTTACAAGAACACTGTGCAAAAGAGCCGAAGTCAAGCAATCAGGAACCACAGCAGCATGAGCAGCAGCAGCAGCAGCAGCAGAAGCAGCAGCATCAGGGGAAGGCCATATGGCATGGTGAGAGGCAAATGAGTGGGTCAGGTAATTTTTCAGGTGCCTCCAGCAGTTTCCATGAGCATGAGACAGATTCAGGAGATTGTTCAGATTCCAGTAGCAGATGCCTGCAGCAGCACAGCCTGGAGAGCGATCAGGTGGCTCAACAAAACCAGAGCCAACTACAGAACCAACAGCAGAAACAGGGAGTGAGACCCTTTCAGGAAGGCCAGAGAGAGAGCGAGAAATCGAGTGTCAGTGTGAGTGTGGGTGGTAGTGGTAGTGTGAGTGTGAGGTACGAGCAGTCGGTCTCACTGTGTGCATCTGCAATCACCACGATTGCTGCTCGCATGGGCATACATGCAGGCGTAGGTGCAGCTGGTGCTGGTGCTTCTGCTGCTGGTGGTGCGGCGGATGAGGCGGTGACGCGGGCGTGGGTGGGCGGGCTGCGAGTGCTGGTGGTGGACGACACGCCCGTCAACCTCCTCGTGGCCCGCCGCTCCCTCGCCCGCTGGGGTGCCCGAGTCACCACTGCTTCCCATGGCCAGCAGGCCGTTGACCTCATCGCTGCTGGCTTGCAGGAGAGCTCCCTCGCCCGCTGGGGCGCCCGGGTCACCACTGCCGCCCACGGGGAGGAGGCGATTGAGTTGATCACTGCTGACCTCATCTCCACCGCTGCCCACAAGGAGGAGGAGAGAGGGGAGGAAACACTTGGGGAGGAGGGGAGAGGGCTGCAGGAGGCGAGAGGGCAGCAGGAGGCGAGGAGGCAGGAGGAGGCGAGAGGGGAGGAGGAGGCAAAAGGGCAGGAGGAGACGGGTGCATCATTGCAGCATGGCTTCGACTTGGTTCTCATGGACCTGCAGATGCCGGGCATGGACGGGTGAGTGGTTGTGAGTGGTGGTGAGTGGTGGGCATGGATGGGTGGGTTGTGAATGTTGGTGACTCATGAACGTGAGTACTTAACACTTTCCCTATGTGAACCTGGTCTGTTGCAAGCCTAATCCCCCTCCCCTTATTGTCCCTTGTGCTCCTCTCTTCCTCCTGTTCCTCCCTTCCATTCCGTTCCTGCTTCCTCCATTCGGTTCCTGCTGCCTCCTTGCCGTGGCAGCTTCAACGCAGCAGCCATATGATCCCTTGAGAGGAGGGTGGGGCATTGAACCTAATCCTCCTCCCTTGATGTCTCTCCTGTTCCTCCCCTCCTTGCCTTCCCTCCTTGCCTTCCCTCCTTGCCTTCCCTCCTTGCCTTCCCTCCTTGCCTTCCCTCCTTGCCTTCCCTCCTTGCCTTCCCTCCTTGCCTTCCCTCCTTGCCTTCCCTCCTTGCCTTCCCTCCTTGCCTTCCCTCCTTGCCTTCCCTCCTTGCCTTCCCTCCTTGCCTTCCCTCCTTGCCTTCCCTCCTTGCCTTCCCTCCTTGCCTTCCCTCCTTGCCTTCCCTCCTTGCCTTCCCTCCTTGCCTTCCCTCCTTGCCGTGGCAGCTTCGCAGCAGCAGAAGCCATACGATCCCTTGAAAGGAGGGTCAAGTATGAAGCCATTTCACGGGCACAGCAATTACAGCAGCCGAGGCATCATCAAACCCCTTCTGCTCTGCCCGTCCCTCTCCTAGAAGCTTCAAATCCTGCTGCTGCCACTGTTGGCTGGCCCATGACTCTGCGGGTGCCCATAGTGCCATCTGCAACTGCTCCTGCTGCTGCTGCTGCTGCTGCTGCTGCTGCTGCTGCTGCTGCTGCTGCTGGGTGGCCCGTGTCTCTGCGGGTGCCCATAGTGGCTCTGACGGCAGACGTGGATCGCGGAGTGGTGCAGAGGTGTGCAGAGGGGGGGTTTGACGCTGTGCTGCAGAAGCCAGTGGATGCCCACCTGCTAGCCGCCCACCTCTCCCACATGCACACCCAGAGGTCCTTCCCGCGGGCCGTGTCACACCCCACTGTCAGTCGAACCATAAACAGGCACGACAGGTGCAGCAGTCAATAATATTTGAAAGCGTTGACTCAAAAGCCACCTCTCCCAAATGCAGTTCCAAAGGTCCTTCCCCCGGGCCGTGTCACACCCGACTGTCAGTCGAACCATAAGCAGACACGACAGGTGCAGCAGTCAGTAACCCGGCAGTCAATAATCCGGCAGTCAGTAACCCGGCAGTCAATAATCCGGCAGTCAATATCTGGCAATCAAACAATCCGGCAGTCAATAATCCGGCGGTCAATAATCCGGCGGCCAATAATCTGGCAGTCAGTAATCCGGCAGACGATAATCCGGCAGTCAGTAATCCGGCAGTCAGTAATCCGGCAGTCAGTAATCCAGCAGTCAATAATCCGGCAGTCAGTAATCCGGCAGTCAGTAATCCGGCAGTCAATAATCCGGCAGTCAGTATTCCGGCAGTCAGTAATCCGGCAGTCAATAATCCGGCAGTCAGTATCCTGGCAGTCAATAATCCGGCAGTCAGTAATTCAGCAGTCGATAATCCGGCAATCAGTAATCTGGCAGTCAGTAATCCGGCAGCCAGTAATCCGGCAGTCAGTAATCCGGCAGTCGATAGTATTCAAGAAAGCTCACAGAACACTTGGGTTGTTTCACTACTACATCACAGCAGTCCCACACTCCCACACTCCCACTCTGACACACACATACGGCACGTGAAGCAGCCAGTGATGTTTTAGAGTCGACTTAATAATCCACTCGGGTTGTTCGACCACATCCCCAAACCACTCCCACACTCCCACTACTGACACACGGCACATGCAGCTGCCGGTGATGCTTATCGAGTCGACTCAAAGATCCACTCAGGTTGTTTCATTACATCCCCTGACCACTCCCACACTCCCACTACTGACACACACGGCACATGCAGCTGCCGGTGATGTTTATTGAGTCGACTCAAAGATCCACTCAGGTTGTTTCATTACACCCCATGACCACTCCCACACTCCCACTACTGACACACATGGCACGTGAAGCAGCCTGTGATGTTTGCACGGCTCGAAGCCCTCTCAAAATGCTTCCATGTGCCTTACAACAGATACGTAACCCTACTGTTACCCTGAACTGACTGCTGACTGGTACCATAGACATGCCAGGCCCTGCAGGCATGGCGCTGGCTGAACAGGTGGTGGCGAGGTGACCCAACTGGCCGGCTGAAAGCAGCTGACGAGGCAGAGGTTAAGTTCATGGAGAATGTCCTTCGTGGCGGAAGCTGAAGTGAATGCGTTCTACAAGGCAGCAACTGAAGGCGCGAGTGGAGAGGATGACAATAAATGCTCACGGTGGAGTTCATTTTGACAGGGAGGAGGATGCATACATTCGCCACGAATGATGCAGCAGCAGGTCATGGCGCAGATGCGGCTGGTGAGGAGGACTGGTGGGCATTGTATGAGCATGCGTATGCGATGATGATGTATGGTAAAGCCCTAGGCCCCAACAAGAGGATGACGAGGTGGAGCACTTGCATTGCACGCACAGCAGGATTGATGCACACTGGTGTTGATTGCAGTTTAGATTTCTATGGAATGCTTTCACTAGCCAACTTGTAGGATAACTTAGAATCGATGTGCCGGTTTAACCTCAGTCAACATTTGCTGAATAATTTTAGCACCCAGATCCACAAAAGCCATCAGCTTGTGTTCAATTGGGGAGGGGTGGCATACACAGGGAGTTATCGGTACGGAAAATGACAACTCCATGAAATTCACCTGACTAGTTTGGTCACAAGTTCAGGCTAAACAGCGTCCAGCACAGGAACAACAAGATGCAGGCAGTACAGTAAGTGTCTAGCACAGCGCTAGGCTCACGTATAGCATTTGTTCGGTGTGCTAAACCATGCAGACAGCACGTCGGTTAAGACCATTGATTACAAACCATGAAAGAGATGCAGGTAGCACAATCTGTCTAGCTGGGGCCACCACATGATCAGTCAGTGCAGTAGCAGCAGGATTTGGCATGCCTGGGTTTTTGTCAGTGGTTTCAGTGGTCATCAGGTACAGTGAAGCCACCTGACCAAGTCTTGTGGCGTCCATACCAACCCTGGCTGCTGCACGTGCCGTATGTGTCAGGGGTTGGGGCAGTCGTCAGACATACGGTAGTGAAACAACCCGAGCGTTTTATTTGTATATGTTGTTCAATGAGTTGAATGCTGCTGGGTCATTAGCTGCTGCACTGCACGTGCCGAACGTGTCAAGAGGTGGGTGGGAGTGGTCGTCGGCATAGTGAAACAACCGGACGGTGTTGCGAACTTGTGAGCTCTCTTAGATCTTACAAACGCTCTCCATAACCCTCCCCACCAGTGGTAGGATCTGTCAGTAGCTTGGCTGGCTGTGGGCTGAAAAGCAGCCCGCTTAAGTGAGTTTTAAGCCGTACAAGAATTCGCTGCTGCTGCATCTGTCGTATCTGTATCTGTTTGTGGCGTGACTGACAGTGGAGTGCGACAGGACCCGCAGTAGTGATCTCTGGGAACGGGTTTAGGGTTTCGGGTTTAAGGTTTAGGGTGGGCGTCAGCAGCCATCAGGTAGTATTTGTTATGAGCTGTCTCAACCGTTATTGACTGCTTGGTCACTGGCTGCTGCAGCTGTCATATCTGTTCATAGCTGGACCAACAGTGGGCTGTGACACAGCCCGCAGGAGTGCGCTTTGGGTGTGCATGTGGGAGAGGTGGGCGGCGAGCAGGTGGGCATCCACTGGCTTCTGCAGCACACCGTCAAACCCCCCCTCTGCACACCTCTGCACCACTCCGCGATCCACGTCTGCCGTCAGAGCCACTATGGGCACCCGCAGAGACACGGGCTGGGCACCACCAGGAGAAGCAGCAGCAACTCCAGCAGCAGCAGCAGCAGCAACATTAGCAGTTGCAGCAGCACCAGCAGCAGCAGCAGGGTTCGCAGATTCTAGGGGTGGGACGGGCAGATCAGAAGGGGTGTGCTGCGGCCTCTGCTGCTGCGATTGCTGTGCCCGTGAAATTGATTCAAACTCCACTCTCCTTTCAAGGGCTCGTATGGCTGCTGCTGCTGCGAAGCTGGCACGGCAAGAGTAACAGGGCAGGGGAAAGGGATGAACAGAGGAAGGGAGGACCAGAGGAAGGGAGGACCAGGAGGGGAGGAACAGGAGGAAGGGAGGAACAGGGGGAAGAAACAAAAGGTACATCAAGCAGAGGGGAATCAAGTTTGCTATGAACCAGGTTCGCACTGGGAATAGGTTTAGTACGCACATTCATGACTCACACAGCCATGCCCACTATTCACAACCACTCACAACCACTCACAACCACTCACCCGTCCATGCCCGGCATCTGCAGGTCCATGAGAACCAAGTCGAAGCCATGCTGCAATGATGCACGCGCCTCCTCCTGCCCTCTTGCCTCCTGCTCTCCTCTCGCCCCATGCTCTTCACCTGCCACCTCCCCGACAGCACGTTCGCCTCTCCCCTCCTCCTGCCCTCTCCCCTCTGCCACCCCAGCAGTGATCAAGTCTAGCGCTTGCTCCCCACGAGAGGCGGTGGTGACTTGGGCGCCCCAGCGGGCGAGGGAGCGGCGGGCCACGAGGAGGTTGACGGGCGTGTCGTCCACCACCAGCACTCGCAGCCCCTCCACCCACGCCCGCGTCACCGCCTCATCCGCCGCACCACCAAGACGAGCACTACCAGCACGATTACCTGCACCAGCACCAACACCTATGCCTGCACGCATGGCCATGCCAGCGGTAGCAACGGTGGTGGTTCCAGATGCGCACAGGGAGATAGATCGCTCACACCTTGCACTCACACTCCCACCCCCACGCGCACTTGTGCACACACTTGATTTCTCGCCCTCGCTCCGGCCTCGCTGAAAGGATCTCACTCCCTGCTGCTGCTGCTGTCCTTGCTGCTTCTGCTGGTCCTGCTGCTGCTCTTGCTGGTTCTGCTGCTGCTGTTGTTGGTTCTGCTGCTCTTGCTTCTGCTGCTGCTGCTGCTGCTGCTGCTGCTGCTGCTGCTCTTGCTGGTTCTGCTGCTGGTCTTGGTTTTGTGGAGTCACCTGATCACTCCCCTGGCTGTGCATCAGCAGCCATCTGCTGCTGGCACCTGAATAATCTCCTGACTCCGTGTCATGCTCATGGCCACTGCTGCAGGCACCTGAAAATTCTCCTGACCCGCCCATTTGCCCTTCACCATGCCATACGGCTTCCCCTCGTGGTTGATCCTTCTCTTGCTGCTGCTGTGGTTCCTGGTTGCTTGACTGCGCTTGCTCTGGACAGTGTTCTTGTAACGAGGGCATGGCTACAGGCACAGAGAAAGCAACTGTGCTTCCACACCCGGGCTGTGAGTCAAAGGCGAGCTCTCCCTTCAATAGAGCCACCTGGAGGGAGTGGGAAGGAGGAGGGAGATGAAAAGCGAGCATCTGCCAAGGAGAGCAACGGCAGCAGCATCATTATCCTCAATCCGTGCTGATTGGAGTGAAAAAATAACAAAATTTCTACTTTTCCTTGTATACATCATGGTTATTCCAATCTGAAAGAATAGAACAGTATGAGCAGGTGTTTGAGGGACTCACCGTTTGATGCACCAACACAAGCCCCAGTGCTGCCCCTGACCCACTCCTTGCTTCTCTTTGCTCCCGTGATTCCTGGGTGCGTAAATACAGCAGAGATGGAATCAGCGAGGTGACAAGTGAGTGAGAACGAAAATGTTGGCGACCAGGCGTGAGAGGGATGGGAGTGTGAGAGATGGGCGTGTGAGACATGGGCGTGTGAGAGATGATCGTGTGAGACATGGGCGTGTGAGACATGGGCGGATGAGAGATGATCGTGTGAGACATGGGCGTGTGAGACATGGGCGGATGAGAGATGATCGTGTGAGACATGGGCGTGTGAGACATGGGCGTGTGAGACATGGGCGTGTGAGACATGGTGGTGTTCTTGTTCAAATCTAAACATTTCCAGACCAGCAGGGTGGGAAGAGATGGGGCGTGTGAGAAGACAATGTGAGAGAGTGGGGAGCTGTGTGAGGAAACTCATGAGAGAAGACGAGTGAGCGAGGGAAACGAGGGGGGAAGGGGAGGGAAGGGGAGGGGAGGGAAAAGGAGGAAAGGGGAAGGAAGAGCATGCAAAGGGAGGGGCGTGGAAAGAAGGGGAGGGGAGGGGAGGAGAAGGGAGAGGAAGGGAGAGGAGGAAAGAGGAGGGGAGGGGAGGGGAGGGGAGGGGAGGGGAGGGGAGGGTACGGGAGGGTAGCCGCAGATCAAGTCTCAACATGGAGTCATGGAGTTGAGTCGGAAAGAGAAGTAGAAAGCTCACGAGGAGGGAGAAGTAGGACGGCCCTTGAGTGCCGCTCGCAGTGTGGAGAGACGCTGGAAGGCCGCAGCCCGAGTCTTGACACGACAGCACCAGCATGCACCGCTCTCCACCCCTCTCTTGTCCACTCCCATGCCCTCTCCCACGCCCCCTGCCTGCTTTTGGAGTGGGTCTCCTCTCTTGACTCCCATGCTTCCTCTCATGCCCGCCCTCCCCCCAGGCACTGCCTGCTGTTCCTGCTGATGCCGCTGGCTCTCCCCTCACCACCTCGAGCAACCAGCGCCAGGTAGAACAAAGCCAGGCGGAGAGCCCATGGGCAGTGGCAGCAGTGGGCGCTCGTGGTGAGGAAAGGCCTGGTGTGGACGAGGGAAGCGTGGAGGGAGAAAGACGGGCTTTGAGGGCCGCGAAAATGAAGGGCCTGGGATATACGGAGAACCGTGGAGCGGAGAAGTGAGTGCGGGTGGAGAGGTGGAGGCAGTGCGGGTGGAGAGGTGGGGAAGGGAAAGCTGTGGGGGAAGAGAAGGCGGGAGATTGACGAATGAGAGACTGACGGGGCCAAGGCAAGGTGATTTGATGAGAGAGAGTGTGTATGAGCACGAGCAAGCATGAATGAGCTTGAACATGAGCATGAAGAAACGCCACCAACGCTACAGCCAACCACTCACAACAACCTTACCCTGGTAACAAAGGGTGTCTTGCAAGCTTGTCCCTTGCGGCACCAGCGACACCCGCACTGTCACACGGCCTTGTGTCGTGAACTTGACCGCGTTATCTGAAACGCAACCGAGGAAGTGGTAACTGAAATTGGTAACCGGAAGTGGTAACTGGAAGTGGTAAAGTAACCAGATGCGGAACACGTGAGGGTCATCCTTCATAAAGCAGCAGGTTTCAGGTCACCAGTGATCTCCTTGACCATGCTGCCCAGATGCGAGGGGTCCACAATGGCGTGCGTGGGGTGGTTTTTGCCCCCATCACCCCACCCACCACTCACGCAGAGCCTCAGCCTTGGGCTCACCTGTGGCCTCCTTGCCCATAGTGCCGAGATGCATGGAGTTCAGACGCGACATATCATCCCACCACCGCACATCACCACTCTCAACCGCGAGCGCACCTGTGATCTTCTTGACCATGGTGCCGAGATGCATTAGTCCACAATGACAAGCGTGAGGCAGTTACCGTCACACAACCCACCCACTTCACATATTTCACACATTGAACACCATCTCCCCTTCATCAGTCGTAGTGTACCTTGGGGTGCAACCTCATGGTTTGCACTCTCCTTGTCGTCTTCGTGAGTGTGCGAATGTTTGCATGGAATGACATGATATACGAGTATAACATCATATACTGCATGCTTACATGAGCGTGTGAATGACGATCGAGTCAAACGTGCGTGTTGAGACGTTAGCGAGTCTTCGCTAATTGCTTGTTACGTCGCCATTTGTGAGTCGTGAGCGTATTCTAAATTGTCGGGTATCAAATGTAGTGCGTGTCGCACGTGTGTGCAGCAAGCTTCCATGGAGTATTTCCAGGATTATTTCATGGTGAAGGCTTAGAGCCTTTGTGGTATGTGAATTTGAGTGACGCTGCTCTATTTTCCTGGACCTTCCTTTCTCGTGGTTTGAAAAGCTATGAGTAATTTCCAGCCCAAATTTCTTCGAAGGTTGTGCTCTATGATTATAATCGCTGCCATACTGCCGTTCATTCAAACTACTAACACACTATCTTTTCTTTATGGAATCAAGGTGATTCAACTTTCTAATTGTAGAAAACATTAAGACCCTCCAAATTCAAGTTATAACGCATTATTTAGGACTGTGATCGGAACACTATCATGTTGAAGCCGCTGCAGAGATCGGTCTTCGCGCTCAGCCTTTCACTGAAGTCACATTGGAGTCTATTGTTACTATAACATTTTTGTGAGCTCCCTAGCCATGTTGCTGAAGTGCATGGGCTCCACAATGACATGCGAGGGGCAGTTATCGTTACATGCACACATCGCGTATCCAGTTATTTCAACACACCCCACCCTCAAATTTGAGCCCACCTGTGATCTCCTTGACCATGCTTCCGAGATGCATGGGGTCCACAATGACATTCGTGGGGCACTCGTCTCCCACAATGGCGCTCACTGCATGGGAGGAATTAGGGTGGAAGTTTCCAGTGTATGAAAGTGAGAATGAGGGCATGGCATGGTACATTGGGCATAATGAGACACATAAGGCATGTTAAGAACAATCTGACAGCGGCGCCCCTGCGACAGCTCAAGAAGTTACACAACGCTAGAGACAATGCTGATAAGCTCCAAAGAATATTTACTTGTGCAAGAGTTGGAAGAGTTTCGACCACACACGTTCTTGTGACACGAACACATCGCGTTCTACATGAGTTTAGCCGTTCTACCTGACCAATAAAGGCCACCCCTTGGCGGGCGCAGTGCATTCCCTTTCTAACACTCCTCATTAGTCATCAACACACATTCAATCATCAGCCACTCACATTCAATGCCTTTGGAACTCGCTGCATCCGCGTGCCAGTCCAAAGCAGCACGGAGCCACTCCCTCACATCAATCACCGTCTCATCCACCACCGCCTTGCCTGCCTCCAGCTTCGCCAGGTCCAACACGCGGTTGACCAGATGCAGTGCATCCTTGGCCGATGCCCCGGCCATTAGCAGGTCTGCTAGCTGAGAGGCGTTCAGGCCCATGTCTGCCAGAGCATCGAGCATGCCTGGTGGGGGAAGGGGGATGTGGGATTGAGAGACAGAGTGGGTGGGAAGCAGAAGGGTGCAGGTATGGAGTTGAGAGAAACACACAGTTGACCAGATGCAGTGCATCTCTTGCTGATGCCCTGGCCATTAGCAGGTCGGCGAGATGGGATGAGTTAGGTAGGCCCACGTCTGCCAGAGCGTCAATCATGCCTGGTGGCGTCTGCAGCTCATGGGACATGCGCGGTACACTCAAAAACAGGAGGAATGCAACAGTGTACCGTCAAACTCTTACCAATAATCCCAACCATGGGCGTCCGCAGCTCATGGGACATGCACGCCACAAACATGCTCTTTGACGCCTCTGCTTCATCTGCCTCCCGTCTCAGCCTATCCGCCTCTGCCGTCTGCTGCTGGGTCTGCAGGAACTTGCTCCGCTGCAGGCATGCGGCCGCCAGCACGAGCACCACGAGGAGGAGGGCGAAGAGGGCGATGAGGATGGGGATGCCCCACTGCTGCCATGTGTTCGGAGGTTGTGTGTGCCTGGAAGGGGCGGAGCAACAGGAAGAGGGCATGCCATATATTTTCTACTGTGCACGAAGTGGAGTTCGAAGAGGGCGATGAGGATCGGGATGCCCCTCTGTTGCCATGTGTTGGGAGGCTGTGTGTGCCTGGATGGAGGGTGGGGCACAAGAAGGTCGATCACAAATGGTGTTTACTATGAGGGGCACTGGAAGTGAGCGATGAGGATGGGGATGCCCCTCTGTTGCCATGTGCTCGGAGGTTGTGTGTGCCTGGATGGGAGAAAAAATGCATAGGATGAGCATGAGCAGCAAGGTTGTGGATGTTTACTGTGAATATCCCATAAGCGAGGGTGTCGAAAGAGGGAGAAGATGGGTTTTCTCGCCATTTACCCCAGGCCTTTACTCGGCCACCCCACCATGCTTTCAAGTTTGTGCAATGCAAGCACCAGACCTTGTATTCGCAATGCAAGCTACCCAGGCATTTTTCGAGTCACTCAAAAGTCATCCTACATAGTGTTCTCAAGAGTCTCAAGCTATCGAGCATGCAGTCTCGGGAAAAAGCACGCAAAAATCTCAACCACAGCCCCAGGAGAAGGCTCAGTCAGTCACTCACTCACTCACTCACTCACTCACTCATTCACTCACTCACTCACCCAGTCACTCACCCACTCACTCACCCAGTCACTCACCCAGTCACTCACCCAGTCACTCACCCAGTCACTCACCCAGTCACTCACCCAGTCACTCACCCAGTCACTCACCCACTCACTCACCCACTCACTCACCCACTCACTCACCCACTCACTCACCCACTCACTCACCCAGTCACTCACCCACTCACTCACCCACTCACTCACCAGTCACTCACCAGTCACTCACCCAGTCACTCACCCAGTCACTCACCCAGTCACTCACCCAGTCACTCACCCACTCACTCACCCACTCACTCACCCAGTCACTCACCCACTCACTCACCCACTCACTCACCCAGTCACTCACCCACTCACTCACCCACTCACTCACCCACTCACTCACCCAGTCACTCACCCAGTCACTCACCCAGTCACTCACCCAGTCACTCACCCAGTCACTCACCCAGTCACTCACCCAGTCACTCACCCAGTCACTCACCCAGTCACTCACCCACTCACTCACCCAGTCACTCACCGGCACCAGACCTCGTACTTCCTCACGCCGGCTCCCATCTCCTCCAAAGGCACCACAGCTCGACGCTCCCAGGGGCGGGTTTCGGACTCTGGGGAGGGGTGCATGTAGGGGAGCTTGTCGTCTGGGCGGAAGTAGGCGTGGGGAGGGACTGGAGAGACGATGGCGAAGAGGGAGGCTGGGTCGGTGATGTCGTATAGCTCAAAGGACTTGGATGGGTCTGCATGGGGGAGGGGTGCGAGGATGAGATAGAAGAGGGGATGAGAAGAGGAGCACAAAGGAAGAAACCAGAAACTTCTACCCATGCTAAGAAGCGGATGTGAGCACAAAAACAGCAGTAGCAGGTCACAGCAGTAGCAGGTCACATATACATCTCTGGGACTCACCAGGCGCGTACAGCTCTTCTAGGACTTTCTGTGCAATGTATGTCACGTCAACAGATGCAGCGAGTGACCCGTACACTGCTCCTGCCTCTGCTGTTGACTTTTTCGAGTTGTTAGTGGGGGGGCTGCGGAGGATAGGAACCACGATACCTGGGGCAGGGTGGACAGCAACAAGCGGGATAGGAAAGAGGAGTGATTCGGAACAGACGCACACCCCTGCGCGCGGCTGTCTCTAGTGGTTTGAGTTTAGGCGACGGAGAGGAAAGATGACATTGAGAGCAACAAGCGGGATAGTAAATAGGGGGTCGATAGGAGCGAGTGAGGTCAGATTTTCTTCCTTATCACTGCTTTTCAGTTGCTGCGGTAGTCGCCTCACCAAGACGCCTCATTAAATCGTGCATGAGAGAAGATTTTCCACCAATAGAGGTAATGCTTTATTAAATAGCACTCACTCCCTCCCTCATTCCCTCCCTCACTCCCTCGATCACTCACTCGCTCCCTCACACGCATACACACCCTCACCCACTCACCGAATCCGGCATGGGTGAGGGGGTTGGCGAGGGGGTAGGGCCAGGTATAGAAGTGTTTTCCCGCCTCCACGAGCGGGATGGCCCAGGAGAATCGCTGAAACATGTCGATGTTGCTGGGGCCGTTGGTGGCCCATAGCGTGGTGAGCTCGAGGACCTTGGCGCAGTAGATGGGGCGGCGGGCGCTGACGATCAGAGTGTTGTCTCTGATGCTGCCGTACTGCTTCTCAAAGTCCGCCCTGCAGCAATGTGGGTGGAAGTAGGGGGAGGGGAGGATGGGAAGGGGGGGGGCGGCAAAGAGCGTTGTGAGCTCAAGACTCTTGGGGCAGTACATGGGGCGGCGGGCGCTGACGTTCAGAGTGTTGTCTCTGATGCTTCCATACTGCCGCTCGGAAGTCGCTCTGCAACTGCGTGGGTGGGTGGGAGGGATCATGTAACAAGGGGAGGCGAGAAAGAAAAGAAACTTGTCATTTGTGTTGATGCAGTCAGCCTTTTTGCGCTCGCATACAATCCTTATGTTTGAGTAGCGTTACTGCTGTAGGTAGGTCTGGTGCAGTGCAGATTGGGATAGGGTTAACTTAAAAACCGGAGGATATAGGTCACAAAGATCTCACGCTCGATCCCCCCCCCTTCTACGCACCACTCCACCATTCCTACCTCCCTCCCCTCTCACCTCACTGCATCCCACACAACCGCACAGTAACCGCATTAACGATGAGAAGTCTCAGTCCTCCCTCCCCTCTCACCTCACTGCATCCCACACAACCGCACAGTAACCGCATTAACGATGAGAAGTCTCAGTCCTCCCTCCCCTCTCACCTCACTGCATCCCACACAACCGCACAGTAACCGCAGTAACGATGAGAAGTCTCAGTCCTCCCTCCCCTCTCACCTCTCTGCATCGTGCACCACCGCACACGCAACCGCACCCGTGTTTCCGGGGCGAGTTTGTGCGGTGCGAGTGAGATAAGACACCCACATGCTGCCGTTCAAACACCCGCCCATGTCCCACTTGCTCGCCCGCCCTGGCGTTCCCATCACCGAAATCAGCCCTGCCAGAGTCTGGAGAACGGGAGGGGATTGGGATCCAAAATTTGGATGATGTGAATAGCATAGGGCTGAACAGAAAAAGGCCTTGCTCCTATCGTGCGTTTGCCCAGGATTGCTTACGCATGGATGGACGATGCCTGTTAGAGCCTCTGTGCTCATGCCACAGCAGTGAGTGCTGTGCTGTGCTGTGCGGTGCTGTGCTGTGCTGTGCTGTGCTGTGCTGTGCTGTGCTGTGCTGTGCTGTGCGGTGCTGTTATGTGCTGTGCTGTGCGGTGCTGTTATGTGCTGTGTTGTGCCGTGCCGTGTGGTGCTGTGCTATGCTGTGCTGTGCTGTACTGTGCGGTGCGGTGCTGTGCGGTGCTGTTCTGAGCACCACCACAGTCCTAGCTGGCCAGCACCACAACTGTGAGTGCTTAAGAGAATCTTTTACTTAAGTATTCTGGAGCTAACCGAACCTGCATCAGCACCGCGTGGGCCAGCACGAGCTGCTGCAGCATAAGGGCATGAGATCATGAGAGCAGCACGCATCCGTGCTGCAGGTATGAACGCTGGCACCAATCCAGCCTAACCGGGGTCTTCCCGGCATGTGTAAGCACGAGCTGCTGCATCATGAGGCATGTGTGCATGCATGAACACACATGCTGCTGGTAACAACGAAGAATGCATGAGGGCATGAGAGCATAAGCGCAGCACCCATGCCTTACCTGCATCTGCCCCGCATGTGTAAGCACGAGCTGCTGCAGCATGAGGGCGGAAGGGCAGGAGGAGAGTAAAGGGCAGCTCCCATGCTGCTGCAGGTAAGAACGCTGATACCAATCCAGACTGCGTGTGAGCAGTCCAATCTTACCTGCATCTGCACCGCGTGGGCCAGCACGAGCTGCTGCAGCATGAGGGCGCGCTCCTTGCACCACACGCCCAGCGATTCCTCCCTGTGGTGCTCGTACTGCTTGTGCCGACTGCACAGCAGCCAAGCCGCGATCACTGCACCGCATGCTACCCACACGACCACCAGAACCGTGAACAAGGGCGCTGGGAGGGGATGGGGAGGGATGGGAGAGGGATGGGAGAGAGAGGGGACCGTTGAATGGGAAGGATGGAATGGGGAGGGAGGGACGGGAGAAGGACGCCCTGTTACTATCGCTGGGGAAGCGAAGGGTGAGAGGGAGGGGCTTATCCGCTGTGCTGTGCTGCGTGCTACCCTGCTACAACGCCCCATTTAAGACTGGGCCAAAGCCAGGGTGTGGAAGGCGCGGGGAGAAGAGAAATGCAGGGAGAGGAGGGGATGGAAGGGGGGTTGTGAAATGAAACGCCTCCCTTCGCAAGTCGGAACAGCGTTTTCTGAGAGTGAGCGGCAGAGCAGCTTCGCGGCGATTTCTAGTACCATAGCAGCGTGACGAAGCCATGAGATCCCTAACCATCCCCTGGTTGCGATCCTAGGTGAGAGATAAGGGGTCAGGCGGCAGAAGAGGGGGAGGCGCGAGATGGACGACGGACGAGGATGTGGACGGAGCTGGATCGAGCTATTTGATCCGCAAAATCTTAGCAAAGTCTGAAAGCACCCAATCTTCATTGTCAAATACCCTGGAATAGCACCGAAGAGCAACCAGCGGCTGGAACCCCCCCTGTCGTGTCATCCTCCCCTTCCCCCGCCTGCTTCTCCTTCAAGCAACTTGGGGTGACGTGCTTGCTCCAACCGGTGCCTCGAGCGGCTTTCGGCGGCGTCATCAGCAGCTGCTACGGACAGCTATAGTACTACCAGGGGATATCAGATCCGCCTCGAGGCGGGCGATCACCAGCGGCGAGCGGCGCTCGCGGCGCTACTACTAGTAGCAACGGATCAGATTATGATTCGGCATTTCAAGTCCAGAGTAAAGTTGGCAGAAGAGAGTGCAAGAAAAGAGTGAGCAAGACAAGAGTGTGCAAAAGTGTGCACTCCATGGAAATTCTATTTCACTAGTACCATTCACTTCAGGTCAATTTTCCAACGTCGTCAGACTGGGGTTTCTGCTTTTGGGAGGACCATCCTCAGCCAACCAAACCGAGTGAAAATGCACACCGCGATCACAGCAACTGAGGGCGTGGGCCCGATCGAGTTTGATCGCCTCGATCACATGCGATCAACAATTTCTAGGAAAGCCTGGAAGCCAATTTTATGCAATCAGGGGCAATCAGCTGATCGCGATCAACTGATCGCCCCAACTCAATCAGACCCGATTTTCACCCCGATCGAAGTCGATTTTCCTCTATCACAGGCGACCACCTGATTGCATGTGATCGGGGCCCACAGCGACGCTTGCGAGTAGTTACACTGTTAAATCACAGGGAGACGAAAATTTTAGCCAGGTGACGTATTCGCCAGAATGGGGACGAATTTGCGAGGTAAATGTATAGCGCTTGCTCCGCAGGCGCTGGAAATCTTCCTCGAAAAACATCTCTGATCGGGCGGCTCGGGCACTGCGATCACAAGCAACCCGATCAGATCCGACCCGATCAGATCAATTGCGATCAAACTCGATTGGGCCCACACCCTGAGCAACTCCAGCAGTCGCAATCCCATTTCTTGAAATGCCAGCTAAATCCTTAGGGCCCGTTCCTGGCTCGTGTCGAACTTCCGGTCTTCCGGGGATGACACGAAGCTGGCCCCACTTCGGCTCATCCGAAAAATCACAGGTCGTTACAGCTCGTATTTACAATACCCACAGAGTACATAAAACTTCTGGTTTGGCCCTTACAGAAACGAGTATTTAGCGGAAACCAGGGGTATCGGAGGCTTTGCTTCTGATTACATACACTGAGCCAGCCAACTCCAACATTCACATCTTCCCAACACTCGTGGAACTGCAACTCTACTGGTCTGAGTCTGTTGGTTCGTCCGATAGGTACACGACGAGCGAGGAACTCGTGAACTGGGGAAGATGTTGTGTAGCCTGAATTTGTCTCTTCAACTCACATACATTTGTACAACTAGCATATGCTGTATTTTAGCGTCCAAGCTGGCAAGGAAGAAACAAGAAAGGCCGACTTCAGCTGTCGTCACCATAAAGATTTTTCTGCTGGTGGGAACTACAAATGTTCTCGATTAGAGTCCCCGTAAAAAACACACGCGCTGCAGGCCTTTGTGGAAAACTCACAAACCCCGGGCAAAAGGGAACTTATAGTCCCGTATAAGGAAAATTGCATGAAGAGCGATTTCCCTTCGCTACTATTCGTGTTTTTTCTGTCACTTACGTACATTCGGACTACGCTGTCTTCAACTTCTCGTCGCACGGTTTGCCGCGTTGATCAGTGTCGCAGGACAAACGGGCAGACAAATACAAAATAAATTATGTTTAAGGCCGAAATGAAGGACAACATTTTTTGTGTTACACTGTAAGCGAGACTAATGAGATGGCATTGTCGGAGCTCGCGGAGAACCGCGCGACAGGATTTAGACGCAATAGCGGTCAAGATAAACAGACAAACACAACTGCAAAAAGTAAATAGTGAAACAAAACTTCCTTTTGTTCTGTTTTCCCTAAATGTTCTGACAGGTTCGATTTGCGTCCTCTGATTGGCTGCGGAACTGATTCGTGCAATGATTCAGTCAAGATGCAAGATTTCCTGCCAAAAATGGGACTGTAGAGGAGGGGATACACCTAGGACTTATGTGAAAAATCTACTCGTTGGGGAAATGGGACTCTTTTAGGAAAGGCCTCTAAGCCAGAACATCTGTAGTGACTTGCGGTGCGTTGAGGCCAGGGTCGTTTGTTTCACACGTCACTCCACTGAACCCACTTTCTCGCCACACGCCGGTTGCTTGCACGGCGTGGCTGCACGCGGGCAGAGCAACAATGTTGACAGCATCTCAACCACCCCTGGTCAGTCGCGCCACACAAGAGGGACACGTCAGCAATTGTAGTACAGTACACTAGGTGAGAAGACAAATCACATTACAGAGCCTTTACACTAGGTGTATCTGTAATTCAGTCGAAACTTTTCCGTAATTCAGACCAGGACTGTCTGTATCTGTAACATTCTCCGTCCCCGTTAATGTACATTAACTTGTACTGTTGGATGGACAGCTGTTCTTGGTCAACCGCGCCAAGAACGCGGGCTGAATTGAATGCGATCGATACAGAAGATCACGATCTGACGGCTGATTAGATACGAAACAATCTCAAACGATCTGGCGCAGCTACTTCTGGCAGTACAAAAAGTAGCTGCTTTTCCACCAGCTACCGAGTACACGTCCAAAACACGGGAATTCGGAAACAGACTTCCCACTCGTGAAAAAAATAGCTCAGGGTAGAAATATACAGTAGGGAATTTGGAACGGTTGACCTGATTTCACTATTCAATACAACTGACTTCAGAAACAGTGAACGTATCGTATCAGCCGTCTTTTCCCACACAAGGTCGCGCTGCCTGTGTGTGGTGGATGATCCGCCGTTGGAATTTCCGAACAGACTGGTCAGCCAATGCTTCCGATTGGCGAATAGCGTCTCAATTCAGAAGACACGGAGTATGCACGAAAAATCTCCAGCAGAGCTCTGACAACAGACCGTACGCTTGATCCAAGTTGGAAATGCGGTTTCGGCCAACTTCATACATACTGTACTCAATTTATTCCAGTGCGGGTTCTCAGGTGTAATTACCAGCAGACACACAGTTTCGCGATATAGTATTAGTCTATTCTGGTTGTTTTCTGTATGAAGTCACTAAAAATAATTACAGCACTTGAATAGAATCTACAAAACCTGTAGCAAACCTGTATGAATTTCAGGATGGATCAACCCTACATACAACGGAAAGCCGCCCAATATTTTGGAAAAATATAATGCACCCCATCTGACCCAAAAATATAACCCAATCGGAAAGGGATGCGACTCTGGGGGGGGGGGGGGGGGGCATCAACCCTAAAAACAATGCCCTTTCCAGTGTTTAGGGTTGATCCCTCCTGAAAATGTGTCCACATTCCCTAGAGGGTTCTTTTTTCAGCCCTGTCGTAAATTTCCATACTTTATAACATATCCGATTCGGGGTGGTAAATTGGATGGGTCTGTTTTTGTCACTTCCTAAAGAGTTCGACCAGCGTGAAACGTGACTAAAAAACGACGACAAATCAACGTTGAGGAAGTCCAGGTTGATTACAGCTGAGAACCCGCTCGGTAACAATTTGAGTATGTATGAAGTTGGTCGAATGTGGTTTCCTCTTCTCAAATCGATTTCAGTGACATCAGATCTACTGTTTCCATTCGCGTTGTTCTGTAGGGAAATTATATGGCTAGTCACATATATGGCCAACTTATCACATAAGGTCACTTTGCTATCTCAAACAGTCATAGTAAGTGGTAAATATATCACGTATAATCACACCACTATCACGGATAGTTACACCTTGCCTCGCAAGAAAATCGCGTTTGATCACAGATGAAACAATCAATAACAAATGAAACGACTCTATTCACAGTAGGGATTCAGGGAAAGTTCGCTGGAATGCGTTTGTCCGTAGCACTCGGAAATAATGTTACCTTTGAAATAATTATGTAGAGAAAAAGGTGTTGAAGTTGTAAAGGAAATAATTATGTAAGAAGTTGAGGCGGCTTTTCAAGGGTTGAAATTTTTTTCTGTTGTTCTACGGATCGCCGACCCATCCAAGTCGTTTGAATTCGTCACCGACGCTTCATATTTCGCCATCGGCGGTGCTGCTCCGAGATTTCGACAACTGTTTACAACCAATCGCCTATGAGACACGCAAATTGCAGGCAGGCGATGAACTATCTGATTCAAGACAAGAAGATGTTCGCCATCATCTACGCGTTCAACATGTCTGACTGGCGCCGATGTCACTGTCGCACCGATCATAAACCCTTACAGTACCTTCGGGCGCAACTCATCCTCAACCCGCGACAAACCCGGTGGCTCAATTACAGGAAGTCACACTTCTACTATAGGATCATTTAAAGAATGGGGAAAACAACATCATCGATGCCCTGACTAGATCGACAGTTTA